CTCTTAACACTCAAGCCGTAAGAATATTCGATGAAAAAGGGCGAAGAGGTTTTAACCCGAGCGAGTGGGCGGACTCAAGCCTTCGAGTAAAAAAAAAATAATAATAATAATGGAGTGTGTTTATCTCAAGATAGAATGTGAGAAGGTTGTAATAATAGTGGTATAAAATTTATCTTTGTTATTATTATTATTATCATTATCATCATTGTTGTTACTGCCATTATTATAATTATCATTACCATTATTATTATTACTATCATTATCATTATTACTATTACTATTATTATTATCACTATTATTATCAGCATCAGTATCATTATTATTATTATCATCATTATCATTATTATCATTACTATCATTAAGGGAGAATATGAGAGGATTGTAATAATGGTGGTATAAAATATATCATTCTTGCTACTATTATAATAATTAGTATAAACATTAATTTTATTATGATTATCATTACTTTAATGTTATCTTTACAATAAGCGACAATCTTATCATCAGTCATTACTACCATTACCTACTATCATCATTTTCCATATCATGATTACCGTTGTCATTACCAGTATCACCATCATTACCATTATAATTACCACAATTACCATTATCATTACAATTATCACCATCATCACCATTCTCATTCTAAGCACCATTATCACTGCCATCATCATCACCATAACCATTCTCACTCTAAGGACCAATGTCACCATTCTCATTCTAATCCTCATTCTAAGCACCATTATAACTACCATCATCACCAGCCTCACCATTCTCATTCTAAGCACCATTATCACTACCATCACCCACTTCAATCATAACCATTCTCATCCTAAGCACCACCATCACCATTCTCACACTAATTACCATTATCATTACCATCATCACCACCCTCACCATTCTCACTCTAAGCACCATCACCATTCTCACACCATCACCATTCTCACTCTAAGCACCACTATCACTACCATCATCACCATTCTCACCATTCTCATCCTAAGCACCACCTTCACCATTCTCACTCTTAGCACCATCATCTCTACCATCATCACCACCCTCACCATTCTCACTCTAAGCACCATTATCACTACCATCACCACTCTCACTCTAAGCACCATTATCACTACCATCACCATTCTCACTCTAAGCACCATTATCACTACCATCACCACCATTCCCATTCTATTCAACAAGCGTCATTTCCAGCACAATCAATCCTACTCCAGTTTTCACCGGAGTCATTCTCACCACCATTTATCACTCTAGTAGTAAGTGTATCAAATCGCCTTCACTCGTAGGCCTATCAACCGTACGGAAGTGTTAATGACATTGACGAAAACAAAGGCCTATTTAACAACAAAAAAAAGTCCGATTCGTTAACAAAAGAAACGTTTTACACTTTGAATACTTTCTTAATTAAATTCTTCATCGTTTGAATTCCCTCTATTGTTTTACTTTTTTTTTTGACTCGTTTTTTATGATCATTTTGCTTTTAAATAAAACAGCGTTTATATGGTGTGGATAAGATGAGGGGGGAAAGGAGGAAAATAAAGGGATAGGGAGGGAAGAAGAGAGATAAAGAGAGAAAGAGGGAAGATAAAGAGAGAAAGAGAGGGAAGAGAAAGAGAGTGGAAAGAGAGAGAGAGGGAAGAGTAGGACGGGAAATAGATGGGTGAAGAATTAAAGAAGAGCAAAAGATTTAAAGGAAAGACATAAGACACACGAAAAAAACACAAAAACAAAAGATGAAGGAAGAGAAGAAGGGAATTAAGTAAGATAAGAAAAAATAAGTTACTTAACCGCATCTGTACACAGGCAAATATACTATTTCCTGCATGCACATTTTTAGTATATAATTTCTTTTTCTTCTCTTCTTTTCTCTTGTGTTTCTACTTCTGTTTCTGTCACTCTCTATCTCTCTCTCTCTCTCTCTCTCTCTCTCTCTCTCTCTCTCTCTCTCTCTCTCTCTCTCTCTCTCTCTGTCTCTGTCTCTCTCTTCTCAACCATCCCATCTTCCCCTTTACCTCCCTAACTCCTTCCTACTTACCTTCCTCTCCCCATTACCTCCTTCCTTTCTCCCTCCCTCCCCTCCCTCCCCTCCCTCCCTCCCTCCCCTCCCACCCACCCACTCACCCTCCCTCCCTCCCTCCCTCCCTCCCTCTCCGTACCCCTCTGTAGGCATTCATAACACAGCATCTCCCTGTATTGCGGCGAAGGTGCGGGCGGCCAAACATGGGTTCCTCGACTTAGCGTCTGCCCTTCCCCCGACCTGCGGATTCCGGTGGAGTCCGTATAGAGGAAGGGGAGATTAAGGTACGTACATGAAAACAAGCGCATAAGCATGCAGACATACATGCATGCAGACATACATACCATCTCTTTCTTTGTCCGTCTCTGTGTATTTGCCTCTGTCTCTCTGTCTCCCTGTCTGTCTGTCTCTCTGTCTCCCTGTCTGTCTGTCTGTCTGTCTCTCTCTCTCTCTCTTTCTCGCAGACGTTACCTCCTCGCCATTTACCAGCTGCCGATCGGCCCCTCCTCCTCTCTCTCTCTCTCGTTTCCCTCTCCTTCTCCTCTCTCTTCTCTCTCTTTTCGTCTCCGAATCGTACCTGAAAAAAGAGAGAAGACGGTGGGTAAGTTCATCACTCGTTCGGTGATGATTCTAACAGTAATAATTTACAACGTGGAAATAACGACGGTTGGTAACTGAACAATCACGATTTCTGAGACTGCTGTGGAGAAAGTGCGGTAAAGGGGGGAGAGGGGGGGGGGTGAAAAAGGGGAGAAAGAGAGGGAAACGAAGAAAGGGTTGGGGGAGGAAACGGAAGGGAAGATAGAGGGGTTGGGGGAGGGAAACGGAAGGGAAGAGAAGGGGGATGGGGGAGGAAAAGAGAAGGGAAGAGAGGGGGTTTGGAGGAGAGAAAGAGAAGGAAGGGGAGGGAAGGGAGGGACGGAGGGCCGGACGAATGGAGGGGATAGGAGGGAGTGGATGGAGGGAGGAAGGTAGGGAGGGAAAGAAGAAAGTGGGAAAGAGAGAGAGACAGAGACAGAAAGACAGAAATATTAACAAACAAACCAAACATAAATTAACACACTCGAAACAAGATGCATTTGCAATGGCAGACGTTCGCCGTCTCATTGCATTGCAAGGTTTTATCCCTAAGTCTGGTTGGCAACACTGCATTGTCAGTGTGTGGGGGGGTGAAGGTGAGAAGCCAGTCGGGGTTCTTGGATGGGAATTGGCAATGGTGGTGGGGATGATGATGAAGAGGAGGAAAATGGTGATGATGATGATGATAATAATGATGATGATGATGATGATGATGGTGGTAGTGATGGTGACAATGTCGATGGTAGTGATGATGATGTTGAGGAGGAGGAGGAGGAGGAGGAGGAGGAGGAGGAGGAGGAGGAGGAGGAGGAGGAGGAGAAGAAGAAGGAGGAGGAGGAGGAGGTGGAGGAGGAGGAGGAGGAGGAGGAGGAGGAGGAGGAGGAGGAGGAGAAGAAGGAGGAGGAGGAGGAGGAGGAGGAGGAGGAGGAGGAGGAGAAGAAGGAGGAGGGAGGAGGAGGAGGAGGTGGAGGAGGAGGAGGAGAAGAAGGAGGAGGAGGAGGAGGAGGAGGAGGAGGAGGAGGAGGAGGAGGAGGAGGAGAAGGAGGAGAAGGAGGAGAAGGAGGAGGAGGAGAAGGAGGAAGAGGAGAAGAGGAGAGGCAAGATGAAGAAGAAGAAGAAGAGAAAGAGGGGGGATAAAGTGAAAGCGAAATAAACAGCGGGAAAAGAAAAGAAAAAAAATTCAGAACCAAAATTACAGGAAGATAAATAACACATAACAGCTAATAAGCGGATAGAGAGGATGAGAAAGAAGATGAAAAGAGGAAGAGAAAAGGAAAAAAAAGCGAGAGACAGAGAGAGAGAGCGAGCGAGCGAGCGAGCGAGAGAGAGAGAGAGAGAGAGAGAGAGAGAGAGAGAGAGAGAGAGAGAGAGAGAGAGAGAGAGAGAGAGAGATGGAAAAACGCGAGAGAGAGAACGGAAAGAGATAGGAAACATATGTTCCTGGCAGTTAATTACTGAAAGTTGGAAAGGAAAGTATAAACAAACAAGCAAACAAACAAGAAATGGCGATGGCTTAGTTAATAACATTTTATTTAAGTCAAATTGAGGTGTGCGTTTTTGCCTGCGTGCGCACATGTGTATGTATTACTGTATGTGTGAACATTTATGTGTGTGTGTGTTTATGTGTTTGTGTGTGTGTGTGTGTGTGTGTGTGTGTGTGTGTGTGTGTGTGTGTGTGTGTGTGTGTGTGTGTGTGTGTGTGTGTGCATGTGCGTGTGTGTGTGTGCATGTACGTGTGTGCATGTACGTTTCCGCAATTAGGGTAAGCGTCGTGTCTACATGCATGCGTCGTCATATTCGTTTCCGTGTATACCAATGTACGTGTCTACCTGCATGCGTGTGCGTCCGTGTAGGTGTGCCGCCGCGCGCACATGGCTCCACCCTGCGCGCCCCTGTTGTTGTTTATTCAAGCGACGCAAAAACACCCCCAACTTGGCGATGCCACTTGGCCCTTGACCTTTCTTCCCGCACTCTCCAGGGTCAAAGGCAAGCCAAGTCAAGCCATAGCAAGCCGAGATACAGCAGGCCAAAGCAAGCTAAGAATGCAAGTTAAGTGAAGATAAGGCAAACATCCTAAGGCAAGACTATCTAATGTAAAGGATGGCCAACCAAGCCGGTGCAAGCCGAGTCAAGGTAAAAGCAAGCCATAGCAAACCACGTTAATATTAAGCAAGCCAAAACAACAAATCACGTCAATGTTAAGCAAGGCAATGCAAGCCGAGTCAAGATAAAAGCAAGGCAAGACATGTCAAACCTATGTAAAGCAAACCACATAACTAACCACATCAAAATTAAGCAAGCCAACCCAAGCCAAAGCAAGCCAAAGCAAGCCAACGCAAGCCAAAGCAAGTCAAAGCAAGCCAACTCAAGCCAAAGTAAGCCAACCCAAGCCAAAGCAAGCCAACCCAAGCCAGCTCAAGCCAAAGCAAGCCAATCCAACCCAAACCAAAGCAAATCAAATCAAACCAATCTTGATCACGCGCAAATCTCGACAGAAAAGCGGCAAGAACTTCAAGAACTTAAAAAAGTAATTTCGTCGGTTGGGGATCAGACCGAACCCGCCATTTTGATCAATTCGAAACCGATCGATAATCGACGTGATTGGATTAAAATGAACTTCAGGAAATGGCTAGGGAGCTTTCACCATAATAAGAGAGACGGCGATGATGATGATAACGATGAGGAAAGGGATAATAAGAAACATTAAGAAAAAAAAAAAAAAAAAAAAAAAAAAAAAAAAAAAAAAAAAAAAAAAAAATATATATATATATATATATATATATATATATATATATTATATATATATATATATATATATATATATATTACATGAAAGCATCGTAACAAAAATAAAAAATAAATAATGAACAGCAATAATACAAATAGCAGATGATGATGACAGTAATAACCATAACAACAACTCAACTGACGTAAAACAAACCAAAACAAACACACACACATACAAACCAATAACAAACAAACCTCAACGAAAACACTCCATCACTTCTAATAATAATAAAAAAAAGAACCACACACTTCCTGCTACGAAACGACTAAACGAATAAGAGATGTAGCAAACAACGATAACGATGAATGAATGAAGAACACGTGAAGGGAAGTGTTCTTTTACGTAATATCACAACACTTCCGCCTCTTGTTCTTGTTCTAACAGTGAACGTCATTATAACATTGAACGATGATAAAGCAACTACATAATACAGAGGTAGAACAAGTGTAACGGTAATAAATAAGGTTGATAAAGCAACAAGTAAAAAAAATAATCTTGATAAAGAAAATAAAATAACAATCTTGATAAAGCCAACTAATAAATAAAACGATGATGATGATGAAACGACGATAAAAATTGCAATAGCAGTATGAGCAAAACGATAATAAATAATATCGACAAAGCAACTAGAAAATAAAATAATAATAACGACAAAGAACAAGAAAAATGGATCAGTAGCACCAGAAAACAGATAATAAATAATGACGATAAAGCACACACACAAAAAAACAATAATAAATAATACCGATAACAAATAACCTCAACAAATCATCCCCCCCCCCCACAAAAAAAAACAATCTCGACAAAACAACTAAAACAAAACAACAATGACAATAAAACAACAGAAAATGCAATAAAAGTAACAGCAGTAACCATGGTGACGAAGGCGGCGTGGTGATGCTAACGACAGGGGCGGCGGGGGCGATGGAGACGAAAGGGCGGTGGGATTCTAAAGGAGGAGGAGGAGGAGGAGGAGGAGGAGGAGGAGGAGGAGGAGGAGGAGGAGAAGAAGAAACAAGAAGGATGATGACAATGAGGAGGAGGAGAAGGAGGAGGGAGAGGGGGAGGGGGAGGGGGAGGGGGAGGGGAGGAGGAGGAGGAGGAGGGAGAGGGGGAGGGGGAGGGGGAGGGGGAGGGGAGGAGGAGGAGGAGGAGGAGAAGAAGAAAAAACAAGAAGGATGATGACAATGAGGAGGAGGAGAAGGAGGAGGGAGAGGGGGAGGGGAAGGGGGAGGGGGAGGGGGAGGAGGACAATGAGGAGGAGGAGGAGAAAATTGGCGTCGAACACGAACAAAAGAAAAAAAAATAGGAGGAAGAGGAGAAGGAAGAGGGAGAAGGAGCGGGAGAAGAAAAAAAATGAAGAAAAAGAAAAAGAGGGAGAAAGAGAGGGAAGCGAGAAGAGGAAAAAGAAGAAGAAGAGGGAGACGAAGATGACGAAAAAAGAAGAAGAAGAAGAAGAGAAGACAAAGAAGAAGAAGAGGAAGAAGGGAAGACGAAGAAGAAGAAGAAGAAGAGGGAGACGAATACGAAGAAAAAAAAAGGAAAAAAAAGACCCGGAACGATGAAAACCAAAAAGACGAAGGAAAAAAAGAAAGAAGCGAATGGAGATAAAGAAGAAAAAAAGGATAATAAATATAATAAATGAATAATAAAAACAACAGCAACAAAAAGACGAAGATCAAGATAATGAAAAAATTACACCGGAAAATTGCAAAATTCTCCGCTTAACATCGAACGCGTGCAGGACCCCCCTTCCCCCCACCCACACCTCTCCCCTAACGATGACCTCAATGTATACATCATAAACGTACATATGTGTGTACGTCTGTGTACACATGTGATGCTTTAAGTGCAAATACAGCGACATGGCGTTTATTGCATGCCAGAGGTAATTTTTTGGCTAACATTTTGCAATATTGAGATTGCAAGCGCTGTCTCGTTGAATCGCTTTTTACCGAAACGTTTCCTTCTCTCTCTCTCTCTCTCTCTCTCTCTCTCTCTCTCTCTCTCTCTCTCTCTCTCTCTCTCTCTCTCTCTCTCTCTCTTTCAATTGTGATGACGTATAATAATAATTAAATACAATTATTCACATTTTCTGCGTAAAAAAACTAAAAATATTATTACTAACCATGATTTTTTTTTCAACAATCGTTATCTATCTATATCTATATCCATCTATCCATCTATCTATCAATCAATCAATTAATCAA